ATCTCCAGTTTACTAGTGGACTTCCAAAACTTCTCAAAATTTTTATCCGCTCGCAGTTTCGCTATTTTATCCATTTTGATTTGCTCTTGGTTATTTATGCACCATTTGAGTCTACTTTTAAAAACCTTGCGTGACTCGCGCATCTGCTCATATATTTCGCCTAAGGCAGGTCTATTATATAAAACCCACATTTGAAATTTAAGCTTGGCCTCCCGATGAGCATCCCTCACATTTTTATTCCACCCACACAGGATCTTTTTTCTACGAGGCTTATCAATATTTACGTAATTTGTTATAATAGCCGCCATTTTTAGTGTACTTACAATTTGTTCATAGAAATTGTAGAAATTGTTAACGCTGCTGTGTTTCGCATGGTGAGTGTAGAGAACCGGAGACCCTTTTTACTGGAAACGTGTCATTCTAGCTTAGTCCTCACGGGTGACAACGCATCTGCATTTTGATTCGTAATCGAAGATAGATGTAGATGTCTAAGGGCCACAGCAACCATTTATCATCAGATGGACTGTGTGCTCGTTTATCACCCTTATCCTATAAAAAAAAAATGGGCGGCGGCAATCACTTACTACCAGGTGAGCTGTATGCTCGCTTGCCCCCCTCTCCTATACAAAAAGCAAATTGTCAGAAAGATAAATGATTGTTGAACTTATTAATTTTTTTTAACATAATACAATACTTATTGATTAATTTCTATTTTTACATAAAAAAGTGGTTTTAGTAGTTTATGGTATCGATTTATCAAGTGCACACGGAGGGGTAAACACGATAACTTTTGAAAATATCAATTGTTTAACCGATTCGTTGCGGCACCGATTTTCGACAACTTTTAGCTGTGGCGGCGAACAAATATTTCATGACACGTCTGACCTGTCAAGCGCCACAGAAGTTGATGACTCGCCAATTGTGCCATCAGCCATGTGTAAAAATAATTTTCTTTTTTATGCTTTTTTCACTTGTTTAGACCTAATTAAGTTTAGTTGACATCAAACATCAGTTACAAACGGAAGGATACTTGTTTTTAGTGGGTAACTACATGTTTTTCTACGTGTTTTCTTTGAAATTGAGAGTGACTTTTTTATGCAGAGATTACAAACCTTTTGTACTATTTTTTTGTTTTATAAAAAAACATTTATATATAAGTAGGTACAGCTAAATCACCCTGGAAAACCTTGGTTTTTATTAAATTAAATTTGCACCTGATAATAACATTTGTAAATATCAAATAATCAAAAACCTTCATTTGGAAAAAATAAGGTTTATGATTCATTGATATTTAGAAATGTTAAATATTATTTAATGTTACACAAATGTAAGCAAAATTAAACAATAAGACAAACACATTGTTTTTTATAATAGGAGACTTATTTTCCAGAAATTTATTTACAACTTGAGTTTGTGAGCGATCGCAATGAGTGCTATTATTTGTTACTTATTATACTATTTTTTCACAATATGATTTAAAACCCACGAAGTAAAAAAAGTACCATGTACAAGTTTAAAAACGGTTGTCAAACCCTAAAAATTTTAAAATTTCAAAATATCCAGAAACGAAGCTGTAGGCATGAACTACTTGCAAAATAATGAATATTTTGTTTTGGATAAATTTTTAAAAAAAGACACGCCTGGCGTGCCTTCCGCACTGAACCGGTTAACTCAATCTAGTTTTTAATCTCTTCATCTATCATTTGGAAAGCTATGGCAGTTTAATTTTGTTTTGTTTGGTCATAATTAATTTTTTTGGCTGAGTAATGCCGAAAGTTTCAGTGTTTTGAGCAGGCTTGTAATAATTGAGTTATATGTACTACGTACTAGAGAAGCCCTTCTAAACAAAAAATGTGCGTTTCTCTATGTCTTCGAGATAGTAGAGTCGCGCATACGCAGTTGCGCCACCACAGACTAATTAGTAGATTGAAACCTCACTAAATGACACACTGTACGGAATGCAGTACAGTTCAGTTGAACGTAGTGTATGTTCGGAATAGAATAGAATAGAATAGAATATTTTTTATTCAATATACATTACATGTGTAATTCTTATTGAAAGTCATTTTTTACTTTACCACTGGTTCGAAAAAAACCCTCTGTCCTGGGAAGAACCAGCAAGAAACCCAGCGGGACTTTTTTTTTTAAATAAATTTTACAATATAAATGATTACGAACTATTTACAAAATTTATTTTAGAAACTGCTTGGAAGCGATCACCTCATTCCCAGGGGTTATTATCAACCATGTATTCATTTATACTATAATAACCCTTTTTATACAGTTTCAGCTTAATAAAACATTTAAACTTGGTAATAGAGAGAACCTGTACACTTTCCGGGACCTTGTTGTAATAGCGTATACATTGCCCCAAGAATGAATTACTGACTCTGTGGAGTCGAGAAACTGGTATCACTAGCTTGTGTTTGTTCCTAGTGTTTACAGAATGTATATCACTTCTTTTACTAAAACTATCTTTGTTTTTGTGAACATACATTAAATTTTCGTAAATATACTGAGAGGCCAAAGTTAATATATTAATTTCTTTAAATTTATCTCTAAGAGACTCTCTCGGTTTTAGATTGTAAATAGCTCTAATGGCCCTCTTCTGTAAAACAAAAATAGTTTCTGAATCAGCCGCATTTCCCCATAGCAAAATCCCATAAGACATTATGCTATGAAAATAACTAAAATAAACTAATCTAGCTGTCTCGACACTAGTGAGACCTCTAATCTTTTTTACAGCATAGGCTGTAGAACTTAGTCTGCTTGCTAATTTGGATATATGGGGGCCCCACTGGAGCTTTGCGTCAAGAGTGATGCCAAGAAAAACAGTGGATACAACAGGGCTCAATTCCTCCCCATTTAAAAACACATTGGTATTCAGAATGCGAAATCTAGTACGTAGTACATGTATATCGATGCTTGTAATAATTTATTTTACTAAATACACTTTGCCTCACAGCTCACTCGCACTTCTGGCTTGGCGGCCGTCGTGAGTGGATTACTGTATCGTTTGCTTATAGCAGCGGTAATAGGCAGCAAAAATATCGATCGCTGTAGAACACCAATATTCCAAAAATCAAATTTGATACATATGTACCTACTTGACCTACTTTATTATTTTTATGATTACAGATTTTATTGCAATATTTTGATTCGCCAAAAGTACGTAGGATTTATATATAGATATACTTATAAGTCTTAGACTTTATGGAGTAACCTGAAGGTGTACTTCGGTATCTGCTACTGCAATTCCTCGAAGAGTAGAACTAGATGTGCCAAGTTTGGCTTCGTTTTGTTAGTTATGATGAGACCTTACCTCCGCACCTGATAGAGTGACCTGAAGGTGTACTTCGGTGAATGCTATTTGAACTCCTCGAAGAGTAGAACTAGGTGTGCCGAGTATGGCCTCGTTTTGTTATGATTCATCAGGTTTCAACCTTACTTACGGACTTGATAGAGTAACCAGAAGGTGTATTTCGGTGAATGCTACTGGAACTCCCCGACCAGTAGTACTAGGTGTGCCGAGTTTGGCCTCGTTATGTTAGTTATGATGAAACCTTACCTCCGGAGAGTGAGCTGAAGGTGTACTTCGGTGAATGCTACTGGAACTCCTCGAAGAGTAGAACTAAGTGTGCTAAGTTTGTCCTCGTTTTGTTAGTTATGATAAAACCTTATCTCCGGACTTGATAAAGTGACCTGAAGGTGTAGTTTGGTGAATGCTACTGGAACTCCTCGAAGAGTAGAACTAGGTGTACCGAGTTTGGCCTCGTTTTGTTGCCATTAAAAAGTACCACAGTATCTGCATTTATATTCATGCGGTTCTTTGCTTTAAATTTAAAACATAATGAAGTGAAAAGCATTAAATGATACACAAAAGTTGCCGAAATATATCCGAAAATTAAATGCGGTGCAATGAAGATAATTAAAAAACGGGAGTCATTCGATATTCATAAGTAACCTAATAAAAATGTTAAGATAAGTACATATTTACATTTCTTGAAACAAGGTTCTGACTTGGCCCGGGCTCTCGATTTTCAAAATGTGGCACTCATGTTGGCAACGCTGACGCGAGGTGACACGAGTCGGCCGGGCGGCGACACCGCGTGCGTTAAAGGGAAGGGTAGAGTAGAGTGAGTAGTAATACCTAATACATTGTTTCGTAAGGAGCTAGCTAAAAGAGTTCGGCATCCGTGCGAATATTGATCCTAGTCAGCTAATTCATTAATTTTAAATTCCACTGTTGGTTTTATGTTTAAGTATTTTCATGATTTTTTTTAAATATAATTATCGTTTTATTTAACTGTACCAACATGTTGGAGCGTGAATAATGCTAATAAAACGTTTCGAAAAGATGATTTTCTTTCCCCAGGGTCGATTTTCTTTCTGACCCATCATCAAAGGTATCGTTAGTACTATCGTCTGTTTTAATTTTCGGGAGCGTTTCACTAACACCCGGTATATAATGAATTTAAAAGGAAAACTATCACAGCTAAGAATTAAGAGGTTAACGAGTAATAGTCGACCAAGTTTAAAATGCTCTTGGATTAGTAAAAATTTCGTTACAACTCTATAGAAAATAACCTAAAACTAGCTGCATCATAACTTTGTAATGTTATTGTAAACTGTTAAAAATAAACATTTTATGAAGAAAACGACTTTTATGCATTACTACTTAGCTTTACTTTTTCATTTGTGAGATAGATAGGGTATTATTTTCAAAATCGAAAAGTTTTTTAATCTTTTTTGAATACCCTATAGTCTGATTTAAAAATAACTCCTTCAGTTATAATCTTCCTATTTGGGCCCATTTTTAGTAATTGTAGCGGTCAAACCTTACGAACTTATTATGCTCATTATCAAGAATACCCACGTTTTGTGACGGGCAACTAGGGAACTCTAGCTCTACATTGTGCGTGACCCGACACGCACTTGGCCAGTTTTTTACTATTCTAAGATAAAAGTTTTTATTAGAAAATAAATGTTTTTTCTTGCAGAAGCCATACATCATGGGAAAATTCTTAGGGATACAGCTACACTACAAGACAGTGGAGTCAAAAATGGTGAAATGATACATGTGGTGAAAAGAAAAGTCGAGGCAGCACCCGCACCAGCTCCTACTTATTCTGATGCAGAATTACAGCAGTTAAATACATCATTACGGACATTAGGCTGCACACCAAATGCACCTGGGTGGACTCGAGCTATGCAGGTATTCATATATTTAAATTGTGTTAAGGCTTGAAAAGGTGCTTATTTTTTATTAAGTATGTACATTGTTGAGTATAAACCTCTTACATTATAATTGTTTATTATGACATTGTATTCGTTTAGCAATAAGAGCTCCTACAAAGAGCAATACTATTGTTATTGTTTAAAAAGAGTTACAGCCTGTACATACATACTTCCCATTGCTAGGCATATTTCTACTCTGAGAGTTTAAAAGGAAGCAAGTGTCCACCGCGATGCTCCAATGCGAGTTGGCAAAATTTTTCAGATAAACAGGCGTTTTTATGGCGTTTTCTTGTAAAGTGTTACTATATTTTTTTATATAAGTGTGACAATCAAGCTCACAGTCCACCTAATGGTAAGTGGATGCCACTACATTTATCCTCAATTAATAAACTACATGCAGATGCATTGTCACCCCTGAGGACTATTGTGAAATGTCGCGTTTATCAGTAAAAAGGGTCTCCAGTTCTACACTCACAATATGTAACACGGTAGAATTAAGTTGCTATTTTATGCGCTGGTGTTTTGTGAAAGCATGGTCCTACCCCGATCCAGCAGACCCATTTGTGCTACAACCATAACATAGCTGCAGCGTGACTCTACCATTAATAAGTATAATATATAGTTGTTCAATTAATGACATTTAAAAATATGTAGGGAACATGGTCTAATATTTCATAATGACTTTCACAAAAACCTATGAAGTTATTAACCACAGAATGTAATTCCTGTACTCACTCTGTGAAATGTTACTTTAAAAAAAACTGTCAGTCATAGAAGTCGTTAGAGTGAAAACTTCTTAGCTTCACAGACTTGAAGACATTATTATTGGGTTGTTAAAATATTTCTTTTAGGAAGTATTTTTAATAAAACTTCTTTTTATCAATGTATTATTATGTTAATAAAATTTTCATTGATTTCGCTGTTTTACATGAAAAAGAATGATTATAATATACATATACATATGTATCTGGGCGTGACGATCACGCGAGTTCAGTGTTTTTTCCCTATCCCAAAAGTGCCCAATGTGCCTAAAGAAGTTTTCAGTTTAAAAATTTTCACATAAAAAAATAACTTTGTATTCCTCGAATTTGCTCCTCGGTTTAGAAATTAATTTTGCCTTGCCACTTCTCACGCTGGAAGCCTTATCAACATTACCTATTTACAGGATGGCTTACCAGCTTTTTTTTTATAGGATAAGGGTGACAAACGAGCACACAGTCCACCTGATGGTAAGTGGTTGCTGCGACCCATAGACATCCACATCTATCCTCTATTACAAATCAAAATGCAGCTGCGTTTTCACCCGTGAGGACTAGGATGGAATGCCTCATTTCCAGTAAAAAGGGCCTCCGGCCACCTGCACTCACCAAGCGAAACGCAGAGGTAAACCTCTACTTCACGCTGGTATTCTGTGAGGTCGTGGTACCACCCCGGTTCGAGCCGGCCCATCCGTGCGACATCAAAAGCTGCCGCGTGGCTCTACCGCTGTTAGAAGCTATTAGGTAAAACTGTTTGTACACTAGTTTAAAAAATTATTACACTTTACCAGATTGCAGTATTATAATACATTTTTTCAGTTATTAAATGACGAAGCGACATTATCAGAAGTGATTGATCAGTCGCCATCTTTGAGCGAAGACTGCGTGGCTCTGTCAATCCTCCATGAAGTAGAACTCCTTGCGGCTTTAGGTGCTAATGTGCAGACAATGCGCAGAGGAGTCAACGCTCACCCCGACTTGCCGGCTGCCCTCCGCCATCTCACCAGGCTAGTGCGCTCCCGAAATACTTCCGCTAATGATAATGGTGAGTAATGTTACATTTGATCATTTACTGTAATGAAAACATGGAACACACAATCCTAAACATTCGTAAAACACAATTAATAATATACAAAATATTGTAAAACTAGCTGATACCCGCGATTTCGTCCGTGTTACACATATCACTGAACACGAAGTGCTTATAAAATCATTGTTTCTTAAAACTTTAATACCTTTATATTAAATGAAGATATCGCAATATTTTTTTTAGATAAGGGCCAAGTGTCTAAGATATAAAACTTAGACAACCTAATTGAAATCTATCTAATAGTTTTTCCGTGATGCGCGCACAACTGCAAACCTTTATCATTTTATTTATATAGATTCATACAGACCCGAATGGGGAACTCTTGAACTATCAAGGCCAAGTAAAAACTAAGACATTTCGGGCTTTTTAGGGTTCCGTAGTTACACAACAAGGGACCCTTATAGTATCGCCATGTCCGTCCGTCCGTCCGTCCGCGGTTTTGTTCAGAGACCCTAGGTGCTACAAATCTGTAATTTGGCATAGTTATAGATATTAATCACGCCTAGAAAACTGAAATAAAATCTTAAAAAACACTATTCCCTTGCAAGTAAATGGAGGATGTTTTTTTTTACCTGTCTATTCCATCATGTGGAGTATAATTGGATAGGTCTTTCTAAAACATTGAGGGTGTGGGACAACATCTTTTCGATTTAGGGGTCCCTTTGCGAAATATTTGTAGTATTTTTCATTAGAGTCATGTCCCCCCACCCCCCCACTACCAACTAAACCGCTGTTTTTAGAAATGTAAAAAGTATACACGATAGTAGTATATATAATGAAGTTAAAAGGAAAACTATCACAGCTAAGTAGAATTAAGAAGTTAACCGTTAATAGCCGAGCAACTTATAAAATGCACTTAGATTAGTAAAAATTTCGTTACAACTCCATAGAAAATGATCTAAAAACTAGATACATTATATATTTGTAATGTTATTGTCAACTGTTAAAAATAAACATTTAAAATGAAGAAAAGGACTTATATATGCTACTATAGATTTATTTTTTCATTTTTGGGATAGGCAGGAAGGATCTTTCTTACTTACTTACACTACTTTCACTTATTTTTTAGTTAGTAAGTATTGTAGGCCTCATACAATCATATAGCCTCATACAGTTTCATTCGTCACATTCTTGGTTTACGCGGGTGACCTCAGAATAATTTAAGGCAGTGGTGGTTTACGTGAAGGTTTCTTACGGTCATATGTGTATATCTTAGGATTGTACTGCCGGGAAATAATCAACTATGATCATCTTTGTACCTTAGCGTGTGAACGATTTGATGTAAATTGTATTATTTTCAAAATCGAAAAGTTTTTGTGATCTTTTTTAAACACCACTCTCTATAAGTATGATTTGAAAATAAGTCCTTCAGTTACGCCCTTCCTATTTGGGCCCATTTTTTGTCGTTATAGCTGTCAAACCGCGAACTCACTTATTATGCTCATTGTCAAGGAAGCCCACGTATTGTGACGGGAAACTAGGGAACCGTACCTCTACCTGTACAGTTTTTTTTTTTTATAATTATTGAGCACAATACTACACTTACATGGCTAAAAGTAATTGTTAGAAAACGCAAACCGCTAGGTTTCATCTATGCTGTACAGTTGACGCAAGGCCACACACAATTTCCTTTTTAAAAGATTTCCGCATTACATTTATGGAACCTACAATATGATATACGAGTATGTGAAGGTTTTAATTCCCTTTTCAATGTTAATGTTTCAATACTACCTATAAATGAAATCATTTATTTTTACAACCTTTCAAAGTAGAATGAACTTTGAATATGTTCATATAATAAAAAATAGAGAAAATTATATTTCTAGAGCAGGTGGTAAACCTGATAAAGACATTAAGTATAATGTTAGCATCTACGGAAATCGATACCTATTATTCTCCATACATTTCTTTATCGTTTCTCCGCCATCGTCCCTCGTCCCCGCCATTACATTAGATTTGATAGACCACAAATCCTCACAAAAGAACACCGATTCCTCCCAAGGATGATTCGCGAGGCTATTGAAATTAAAAAACATCCTAATTTCAATAGAGAAGATGGATGGGTGCTGCCATCTGCTTGGGATCCCATAATTAATAAAATCAAATCCAAACCCAAGTATACCACTGCTAGACTTCAAGATACTGTAAGCTCATTCTGCGTAAATCGAACCAAAAATTAATATTAAAAAACTGAAGGTAGCCGGGCTAACTGTGACATCAGGGGACGTCAAACACCTCAGTCCCCCGTGACCACGGGTGCTAGAAAGCACCCGAAACGTCGGGAATATAAAATAAGTTAATATACGCGATAAAATCTGTAAAAATTAGTTTTATTTAAATGCGTACATTCTATACGTTGTAGTTATTAGTTATATTTGATTTGGTTTAGTTTTGTCACAAAATGTACCGAAAAACAGCATAATTTGGCCCGATTTGCAAACGCACCCTTAAGACCTATCCGTTGGAAGACACTATTGAGGTCATTGAGCATAGTGCTTAGGTCCCCTAACGATTCTGCCATAAGGACTATATCGTCGGCAAATCAAAGGTGAGTGATGTACTCGCCGTTGATGTTAATACCGTATTCTTTCCAGTCCAGAAACTTGAAAACGTCTTCCAATGCAGCGGTCAAGAGTTTCGGGGATATAACCTCACCCTGTGTTACATTTCTCTGCAGTTGGTTAGGTTTCGTACTCTGGTTTTGTACTCGGATAGCCATCGTAGCCCTACTGTACAAACACTTCAGCAGTACGATATACGGACAGTCAACTTGGCACCGCTGAGGGGACTGCAGCACCTCATAGTCCACATTTTTTTCAGAATCAAATAGATTTTCTATATTTATTTTTATAGGAGAGGGGGCAAACGAGCATGCGGCTCACCTGATGGTAAGTGACTACCGCCGCCCATAAACAGCTGCAACACCAGGGGAATTGCAGATGCGTTACCGGCCTTTTAAAAAGGAGTAGGCTCTTTTCTTGAAGGTCCCTAAGTCGTATCGGTCCGGAAAAATCGCTGGTGGTAATCGATTCCACAAGGAAGTTGTGCGAGGGAGAAAACTTCTTCTAAATCACACAGTGGTGGACCGCCAGTCATCCAGATGGTATGGATGGTATCGCGAGTTTTGTCGCGATGTGCGATGGTGAAATTGGACGGCTGGATATAGTCCGAACAATTCCTCAGAGCACTCCCCGTGATAGATGCGATAAAATACGCAAAAAGATGCAATATCTTTACGCAGTGCCAGTGTGTCAAGCAGATCGGAAAGAACTCGGTCGTCGACGATTCGAACCGCTCTGCGCTGGATGCGGTCAAGTGGAAGGAGCTGTCACTGGGGAGCCCCTGCCCAGAGATGGGAACAGTATTCCATGTGAGGCCGAACCTGCGCCTTGTAAAGTTGCAAGCTGTGTGCCGGCATGAAATACTGTCTCGCTCTGCTGAGCACGCCAAGCTTTTTAGAGGCCAATTTGGCCTTCTCTTCCAAGTGAACACGAAACTGCACATATGCCAGACATAGTGGCAAATTGTACTCCTCGGACTTATGTACAATTTGCCGTAGGGTATGTATGTGTTCTATGGTGCTAAAGCCTTTTCGGAAACCGGCTTGTTCGGGAGGCTGGAAATCGTCGAGTCTGCAAGCGAGACGATTCGTAATGACTCTCGAAAACAGTACGCAGTAGGCTCAGAAGGGAAATCCGTCTGTAGTTCTACAAGAGAGCGTTGTTGGTTTTCTTGAAGAACAAGACCACCGCATTTCTGCTCCACGCCTCTGGTGTAGTGCCACCATGGAGGACGGAATTAAAGAGCTTCTGCTTCACGAAGAGGACGGAGCGTTGACTTCATTAGACAAGACCTCTCCAACTTAACGTTTAGATTCAGTGTGCCTCTACCCATTCGGTGATCGCTACCAGTTTTTACCCTCGCGATTACTGAGACATCACTGAACAGTTGACGTCTGATCGTCATAATGAAGTTAATCTAACTTTTAGGCGAACCGTCGGGGCTCAACCAGGTCCACTTCCTCTGGGACCGCTTCTGGAAGAAAGAATTCATCATAAAGAGGCCCCCTTTTGCCATGAAGTCGGCCAGCTGCTGGCCCCTTGGGTTCCCTTGCCCTATTCCAAATTTCCGTACATTCAGCTCACCGTTCTCTCATGTGTCTAGTTTTGCGTTGAAGTCTCCCATTTACACCACCGTATATTAGGTTTTAGAGGAATGGATGGCTTTAGATATATCCTCATACATTTCCTCCACCTCCTCATCAGGATGTGCTGTGGTTGGTGCGTAAACCTGTATGACCTTCAGCGAATACCATTTGGTAATTCTGAGTATACGGTACGCAACCCTCGCCGACACACTCAATCTTTACAACGTTGTTAACGAGAGACTTGTGGACGATAAATCCGACATCTTCTTGGCACAGATGGTTGCCCTCCCGATGATAGAACAAGTTGCCGGATTCGAGGATTAGTATGTCCTCCCCTCTCTTCGGACCTCGGATAATCCTATAATATTCCAGCATAACTTGTCTATCTCTTCTCCAGCTCCAGGATATTTTCGTCAGTCCTCAGGGTGCGTGTGTTATATGTTGCCGAGTCCTCTTAGGTGGCAACCGAACCTCCACCGAAGATTTTTAGCACCCCCTGCCCCGCCGTTATCATGGTCACTAGGGGCCATCTCTTCGTAACTTTATTTATTGCCATAGTTGGCACGCTTGGTAAACGGGTTGGCAGCATTTTTTTTATTGTTGTTTTACTGTTATCAGAAAGATGCTCCTGCCCATCTTCTGCCTCAGTTTCCCTTCGTCGCCTCTTACGACACCCACGGGAAGATATGGGGTAGTGGGTATTCTTACCCGCCACTACACGGGGATAATCTAATCCTAAAATATCCCAATGTAACTTGTCTATATCTTCTTATAATTCCAGGATCTTCTCGTCAGTCCTCAGGGTGCGTGCGAGTCGTCTTAGGTGACAACTGAAACCCCACCGGAGATTATTAGCATCCCCTGCCCCGCCATTACCGTGGTCGCCACTGTATTCAGAAATAGCGGGGCTGCCGGGGACTGGGACCGTTTCTTTATGTCGTTGCTCATCTTTGCTATAGTTGCCATGCCTGGCAGGCGGTTTGGCAACCGCAGTTTGGCTATGTCAGTTACTCTTTGTCGTTCTTCTACGGATTTTATCAACTTTGAGAAAGCTCCATGACTCGCTTAGTTACTTTGAGTTTTTTCATACGGCCAGTAGTGAAGGACGACATTTCGGTTTCATAAGTCAGTAATGCTTGCTGCCTATCTCCAGTCTCGGTTTCCATTATATTTTTCGGCAATATTTTTCATAGTTAATAATATTTTCAGTGCCTACATCAGGGTTCGCGTATTCACTTGAGGCTCTGTCGGAGGATGAAGACGTTGAGGAAGAGGAGACTGAAGAAGGCGGTGAAAGAAGTGCGATTACGCAGGAACATCTCGCAGCTGCTTTACAGGTACACCGTACAGCTAATGCAGTTGCATTTCCTTATTATTGGTAAGCCTTCAGTAACCTTAAATAATTGCTAATGAGGGATAATAATCTTACGCTCACCAGATGTCGCTAGTTGGGACTGAAGTGAACTTATTTGTTATGCAAATAGTCACACATTGTCATCATAATTTTAAAACTTGCGATATCATTATAAGTTTTTCGGTTTCTAGTGTATGTATTATTATTTACGGATTATTTAATTATTTAAAAAGAACATCTGTATTTTGTTTTATCTATTTCTAATCTAATTAATATAAAATATTACTAATATTCCAGAAAGAAACATTAATCTCTACATTTTTCTAACAAATTAACTTCCATTCCAAAGAGGCGGCGCGCTGGTGGCAGAAAAAGTCGTGGGTGTATGTCAGAGTAGAAATGCATTTTGACATATAATTCACATTTAATCTAACACAGTCGGATGCGCAAATTCGTAAACTAATTACATGTCCTTCTCTTCGTTTATATGATATTATTATAAAGTTTATTTTTCATTCACCGTCTTTAAAAAGGAGGAGGTTCTCAATTTGAGTGCATGTTTTTTTTGTATGTATGTTATTGATATCTTCGTAGACTGTGAACCTTCAAAAACAGAACCGAATTAACCAATATTAATGATTCTTTTTTTTTTTAAATTAAATAGGCTTTACCTTAAGGGTGGTTCCATTGAATTTTGAAGATAACTCCGCCCCCAAGGATGGAAAATAGGGGAATAAGTTTCATATTGGACTATTGTTTAAGGAATTTCATATGATATCTTCACAGGCTTAGAACCGATTTTAATGATTCTTTTTTATTAAATAGGTTTTACTTGAAGGGTGGTCCCATATCCCCCTTCCCCTCAGACTTTCAAAGAGACCAGACGTATCATTAGTTAGCTATAATATTTATGTTTAAATGCAGACAAAATCAAATAAATAATTAGGAGTGCATAAAATTGAAGAAGTGTTCTTTAACTCTCAACACTAGTCTTCTATCATCATCATCATCATCATTACAGCCCTTCACAAGTCCACTGCTGAACATAGGCCTCCCCCAAAGAATGCCACAAAGCACGGTCCTGAGCCACCTGCATCCATCGACTTCCTGCATATCTTACCAGGTCGTCACTCCATCTAGTGGGGGGACGTCCTACACTTCGCCTGCCGGTACGAGGCTGCCCCTCGAGAACCTTTCTTCCCCATCGGTTGTCGGTTCTTCGAGCTATATGGCCGGCCCTATAGTATATAGATATATATATATAGTATATATATATATATATATATATATATATATATATATATATATATATATATATATATATTCTTCTATACAGACATTAAATTGCCATGCGACTGTGTGAGTAAAACTCTTATTATTGAAGTGTATAAATTGTTTGCAAATTAATAGTTCAAACGAGAAAGAAACGCCTAATCGTTCCGTCATTGGATAAAACAGAGATAGCATACATTAGTATTGTATGCATAGGACGAGAGATCAACTAATATTATAACAGAAAGGCTTTTTGTATAAGAATCATCGATCGACGACCAGTTGCTTGACCTCTAAGCAAATAGTAACTAAACATATTGGAGCTTGTTATATTTGCCCTGGTACATTATTTTAACGTCTCTATGATTTCTCGCTCGCCACCGCGGTCTACTACTTCGCAGCTGCTGAATATTTTTGCTACTAGCCATTTCGACGGCGGCCATCAACTTTACATCGCAAACACTATGCCATTCAGACCCAAATATTTTTATTCTGATTCCGGAGGCCAGCCGAACATAGCTTACCGCACCAAAAGGAAGCGTGAAGATGAATTCAATATATTTAAAATTGATGGTAATAGAATGTTTAAGGAACTTATTCGAGAACAACAGTACTTCTAAAATTTAAAAGACCAACCGACATCAATATAAATAATTAATAATAACTCAAAAACAATTGGTCAGACTATGATCTAATTTATATGGGACCACATAAGAAGCACCAATTTCAAATAAAAAAGAATAATCGAAATCGGTTCACCCAGAAAATAGTTATGAGGTAACACACATAAAAAAACAGTAGAATTGAATACCTCCTCCTTTTTGAAGTCGGTAGAAAATGGAGAAGATTAAGACACAAAATGAATCCTTAAAACAGGCCGTGGATTTTGACTCGACAGTGTATGACACCTTTCTAAAAAGAATAGAAAATCTAGTACCAGAAAAAAAAAATGATCAAAAAGCAAATACAATTTTTAGAAGAAAAAGGGGAAGCATTAGAGAGGCAACTCCGATCATCTAGTCTCGAAATCAGAAATGTACTCAAGAAAATGAATGAAACAAAGCGTGATTTAATTGAGACCACAGTAAAATTGGGTGAAACCGTAAATGCTTCCATTCAACCGTCAGATATAAAGGACGTTTTTCGTGTCCATTCCGAAAGACAATAATTGCTGAATTTACGACAGTTTTAACTAAGGAAAAAAAATTACAATCAAATAAAACGTTCAACAAATAAGTAATGCCGTAAAATTAAACAGCCACTAGCTACATATCGATGGACCAAAGTTATCAATATATATTTCAGAAAACCTAACCCTCAAAGCCAAGCGTCTATTCTTCCTAGCCAGAGAGCCCGCAGTGCTTCAGCGGTATAAGTATTGCTGGACATCTTTCGGGAAAGTTTTCCTTCGCAAAGAAGATGGGTCTAAAATAATTCGTATCACATCAGCCCTATTTTATTTTATTTTTCATGCTTCATTGAAACAGAAACAGAAACTTTTTTATTCAATATAAATTATAAATAATACTTATTGAAAGTCACTCTTTTGTATGATTACCACTGGTTCGTTTCATTTCTCTGTTAATTTATAATTTAAACATAGGTTATACTATCTCAGTAAGATGTAAGATAAAATGTAACTATTATAACCATTCACACTCACATTCAACACACATCAATCATATAACACTCATACAACACTTCATCGTTATTCATTCCTATTATACATAAAGCTACACTACATAAATAAACCCAACGCAACGCACACGTAAAGCGGCAAAATCACTCTAAATATTCATTGAATATTATTTATGTAAAGTTTTGTTACCAATTTTATCCTATTTTATTATTAAATGAGTAATAATATTTTTGCATATTCCACAATTAAGGCTTTGTTTCTTTAAATAGTATGTTGTACGTTTCATGGAGTAAGCCCTTAAATAAATACCGGCCAATTTACGCCAAATGAAGATGTCTCAAATAACATTGATTCATACCACCCAATGTTATGTTGTTTAATTTTTTTAGGGTACTTTTCATGTCGTTGTAATTATTTTGTCATAAAATCAAAATTCTTGATTGATGATAGATGCAGGTATCTATAAGCCACTTACCTCTATGAGCCAGCATCTACTACTATAAGTTATAATCGATTAAGGATCAAAAATGTGAATGCCTTGTCACCCTCGAGAACTAAGATAGAATGCCTCATTAGCAATGAAATGGGTCTGCAGGTTTTTACACTCACCATTCAAAACACAGCAGCGTTAAGATGCTATTTTATGCTGGTTTTATGTGAGGGTATGGTCTTACCCAAGTCAAGCCGACCCATTGCCACTACCATGTTAAATTTGCAAACTATACTCACTCCAGGCAGCAACAGAGGCGGTCTTCTCTCCTAGTAATCGTGCTGGAGGCAGTCAAGAAAGTTTACTACGTCTTTTGCAAGCAGCTGGAGACAGGGGCCCCTCGAGACCCTCAAATACCACTGAATCTAACACGCCAACTGGCTCAGGTAATACATCTTTAAAGCTTATTAGAGTGGAATGTATACAAATTTTTTTGATGTGGCTCTGACGGAAAATATGAGCGACTGATAGTAGATAAACCATCCAAATAATAAAAGAGCCCATATCTCATACTATACCCATATAGGATACTAATAATAACAGAATATAATAGAAGTAATAAAACTATTATTTAAATAAATAGAAATAATTTCTCTTTATTCAATTAAAATTTCAAATGAAGATGAGAGACAGCCGTGGTAGCTCAGATGGTTAGCGCTCGCTGTAAATTTCACAGTACGCGAGCAACCCGTGTTCGATCCCCACCGGCACCAATGAAATTGTTAATTGCAATTTTAAGTTCTCATTTACCATGTGCTCGGCGGTGAAGGAAAACATCGTGAGGAAACCTGCATGTCTGAGACATAAAAAAAATAATTTCGAAGACGTGAAGTCTGCCAACACGCATTAGGGCAGCGCGGCGGACATGTCCTTGCCCTAAAACCCTCTCAGAAATGAGGGGAGGCCCGTGCCCAGCAATGGGACGTATATAGGCTGTAACTTTAACTTTTTTCAAATGAAGATGTTAAAAATTAATTAGCTAAGATCCGCGCAATATAATTAAATGATGTGTCTTACCTAGTTTGAAGAGCACCTACATCTCTCTCTCTCTCAATTGCGTGCACTATCCCCGTTACCACTAATCGCAGCACCACTACTCCAAACACTAGTACTCTTCAAACTAAGTAAGACATAATTTTATTTTATCACGCGGATCTTAACTAGTTAATTTTTACATATATAATATAATGCATTGCCGCAAAGTAACGCAAGATTATAGAGGTTCCTCTGACCGATGAAGAAAAGGCGAAACAAGTAATAATAGCTTTACGCTCACAAACCTGCCTGAACACTATTGTCATACGGGCAACATCAATTGTGAACTGCATAAACTAAAAAGGCCTTTGTCCATCTGTGGGTTTAAAAAAGTGCGAGTAACTAATGAAACATCTTTACATGTTTTCCGTGCCTCGGAATGCACGTAAAGCTGTTGGTCCTGCACATGGTCTTTCTCCGGACCATGAGAGTGAGGAAAAAAGATTGCACTTGTGTTTGCAATTCATTAGTGTCCTATCCAGCACAGATGACCAGCCTTAATTGAGACTGGCCGCCATGACTGAAATTCAATTTAGAAGACATTTCATTACCAATGGGAATGACGCAGTCAGAGTGATAATAATTATTTCACAGGCACCAGCCGCGCTGTAATAACTTCAGAAATGTTCAGTGAAGCTATATCAGAGGCCATTAACAGAGCTGGCAGTCGAAATGCAGCTAGCACACCTATGGACCAAAGCACCGCAGGTAAACTATGATTGCACTACGCTTTAGTTCCTATTTTAATTAATCATGAAACAGGTTGAAAATAATATGTATTTTCCACACATCAGATTGAATATTCCTATATTACTCGGACTCATCATTTTTTTCATAATAAAGATATCACAATAATCCTACCAAAATGTGAAAATTTTTTAGTTGCTTTGATGTGGCGTCAATGTGCGTTGATGTGACATTGATGTGCGTTAATATGACGTTCATCTGCGTTGATGTGGCGTTGATGTGGCGTTGATGCGACGTTGATGTGCGTTGATGTGATGTGGATGTGACATTGATGTGCGTTAATATGACGTTCATCTGCGTTGATGTGGCGTTGATGCGACGTTGATGTGCGTTGATATGGCGTTAATGTGGCGTTGATGTGACGTTGATGTGTCGTTGACGTGCGTTGATGTGCGTTTGATGTGCGTTGAAGTGGCGTTGATGTGACATTGATGTGCGTTGAAGTGGCGTTGATGTGACATTGATGTGCGTTGATGTGACGTGGATGGGACATTGATATGCGTTAATATGACGTTTATCTTCGTTGATGTGGCGTTGAAGTGCGTTGATGTGCGTTGATGTGACGTGGATGTGACATTGATGTGCGTTAATATGACGTTCATCTGCGTGTATGTAGCGTTGATGCGACGTTGATGTGCGTTGATATGGCGTTGATGTGGCGTTGATGTGACGTTGATGTGCGTTGATGTGGCGTTGATGTGTCGTTGACGTGCGTTGATGTGGCGTTGATGTGCGTTTGATGTGCGTTGAAGTGGCGTTGATGTGACATTGATGTGCGTTGAAGTGGCGTTGATGTGCGTTTGATGTGCGTTGATGTGGCGTGGATGTGACATTGATATACGTTAATATGACGTTCATCTGCGTTGATGTGGCGTTGATGTGCGTTGATGTGCGTTGATGTGACGTTGATGTGCGTTGATGTGATGTGGATGTGACATTGATGTGCGTTAATATGACGTTCATCTGCGTTGATGTGGCGTTGATGCGACGTTGATGTGCGTTGATATGGCGTTGATGTGACGTTGATGTGCGTTGATGTGGCGTTGATGTGTCGTTGACGTGCGTTGATGTGGCGTTGATGTGCGTTTGATGTGCGTTGAAGTGGCGTTGATGTGACATTGATGTGCGTTGAAGTGGCGTTGATGTGACATTGATGTGCGTTGAAGTGGCGTTGATGTGACATTGATGTGCGTTGATGTGGCGTGGATGTGACATTGATATGCGTTAATATGACGTTCATCTTCGTTGATGTGGTGTTGAAGTGCGTTGATGTGCGTTGATGTGCGTTGATGTGACGTTGATGTGCGTTGATGTGTTGTGGATGTGACATTGATGTGCGTTAATATGACGTTCATCTGCGTTGATGTGTCGTTGACGTGCGTTGATGTGGCGTTGATGTGCGTTTGATGTGCGTTGAAGTGGGCCTTGATGTGACATTGATGTGCGTTGAAGTGGCGTTGATGTGACATTGATGTGCGTTGATGTGGCGTGGATGTGACATTGATATGCGTTAATATGACGTTCATCTGCGTTGATGTGGCGTTGATGTGCGTTGATGTGACGTTTATGTGCGTTGATGTGCGTTGATGTGACGTGGATGTGACATTGATGTGCGTTAATATGACGTTCATCTGCGTGTATGTGGCGTTGATGTGCGTTGATGTGACGTTTATGTGCGTTGATGTGCGTTGATGTGACGTGGATGTGACATTGATATGCGTTAATATGACGTTCATCTTCGTTGATGTGGCGTTGAAGTGCGTTGATGTGACGTTGATGTGCGTTGATGTAACGTGGATGTGACATTGATGTGCGGTAATATGACGTTCATCTGCGTGTATGTGGCGTTGATGCGACGTTGATGTGACATTGATGTGCGTTGAAGTGGCGTTGATGTGCGTTGATGTGATGTTGATGTGGCGTTGATGTGCGTTGATGTGTGTTTGATGTGCGTTGATGTGACATTGATGTGCGTTGAAGTGGCGTTGATGTGCGTTGATGTGATGTTGATGTGGCGTTGATGTGCGTTGATGTGCGTTGATGTGACGTTTATGTGCGTTGATGTGCGTTGATGTGACGTGGATGTGACATTGATGTGCGTTAATATGACGTTCATCTGCGTGTATGTGGCGTTGATGTGCGTTGATGTGACGTTTATGTGCGTTGATGTGCGTTGATGTGACGTGGATGTGACATTGATATGCGTTAATATGACGTTCATCTTCGTTGATGTGGCGTTGAAGTGCGTTGATGTGCGTTGATGTGACGTTGATGTGCGTTGATGTGACGTGGATGTGACATTGATGTGCGGTAATATGACGTTCATCTGCGTGTATGTGGCGTTGTTGCGACGTTGATGTGACATTGATGTGCGTTGAAGTGGCGTTGATGTGCGTTGATGTGATGTTGATGTGGCGTTGATGTGCGTTGATGTGTGTTTGATGTGCGTTGATGTGGCGTGGATGTGACATTGATATGCGTTAATATGACGTTTATCTGCGTTGATGTGGCGTTGATGTGCGTTGATGTGACGTTTATGTGATATTGATGTGCGTTAATATGACGTTCATTTGCGTTGATGTGCGTTAAAGTGGCGTTGATGTGTGTTTTATGTGCGTTGAAGTGGCGTTGATGTGCGTTGATGTGATGTTCATGTGGCGTTGATATGCGTTGATGTGCGTTGATGTGACGTTGATGTGCGTTGATGTGGCGTTGATGTGACGTTAATGTGCGTTTGATGTGAGTTGAAATGGCTTTGATGTGCGTTGATGTCACATTGTTGTGCGTTGATGTCACGTTGATGTGCGTTGATGTGACGTTGATGTGAGTTGATGTGGTGTTGATGTGTGCATGTGAAGCGCACGCCGCACTGGGTCACTGGAAACCGCTCTGCGCGTAGAAGTCCGAACAGACCACACCCGGACTACTAGTGTAAAATGGCATTTGCATACTGCATCTCATAATTAGTAATTTTTTGTATTTGTAAAGATAATTACGCTACTTATGTTGCTGGTTCTTCTCAAGACATAGGAATTTTCGGAACCACTTTTTAATAAAAAATTGTTTTTCGTATAGAAAATCTATTTGATTCTATTGGACCAATTGGAGTTTCTATACAACATGATAGAATACATAATGGTGATCTTGATTATATTGTAGGTCTTAATTTATTTTGCAATGTGTCTTACGAAAAAATGAATTTATATTTTAGCGTCGTCGTCACAGAGCCCAGTTGGAACGAGGGATGAAAATTTTAGCACTCAATTAAATCATATGCATGAGATGGGACTTTTGGATGATGCTCTAAACGTACGCGCGCTGCTTATATGCTCAGGTAAAAAATTCAATATTTTAAATTCGCACCAATGCACGTGTAGTATCTATAATCTAAGGATTCCTAAAGATTTGCCCTTTAAATAGGTACAACATTTATGTACAAATCTAATTATTATTAAAAAACTCTAACCCATCACATATCTGTATAATCACCACTATTATGAATATGATATTTATTATATTTAGGATATTTTTATTGTATTCTCATCTGGTTGATTTATATATTTCCATTCATCCATCAATTATAGCCTCATAAAATCAGCCAGTGATACCTGTCAAAGGTCCACTGCTAAAAATAGGCTAAATTGCCTTATATAGGTTTGCTAGCACATTTGCTACAGTTTGCACGCTTAGTTACCGGGTTATCAAACACACTTTTTTTATTACGTTTCGGCTCTAAACATCGCGACCAGTCTCCGGAGACCACCATAACGTATTAATAGAACCTCCGGATCTGCTCGACTCCTAAACTCTTAATGTCTCTGGTCCGTTATACACTAACACTATATAATCACCTAGTGTCACAAGCGCACAGGTCAACGGATAAGAAGCGCCCCAGATTCGATGTTCTGAACATCGAACTATACAAGTTAGCCGTCAAAACCGGTGCTAGTCCTCCCTGCTCGGACGGCGGTAAGGTAACTCGTCTGACCACAGATATGCGTATAGGTGAACACTTTGATAAGAAAACTTACGCTCGGGCATAATCGACATCCTCATCATCTTCAGTCCCTCTTTTTATATAGTCTGATGTCTGTTCCTGAGCCCGATGAAATTAAAAGTCATCTATCTGGCTAACATCACAGAAAATGGGTTATTTTGAGTTGTTAGTAAAATTATCAAGAAGATGCTGCTGGCCATCTTCTGTTTCATTTCCTTCTGTTGCTTTTTACGATACCCCACCGGCCGATATAAGCTAGTGGATTATATTAGGCCATTATGGTTATGAATGGTGCACGTGAGGTTGTCAGTTAGGTACAGGTACAGTAGGAGGCTGCCACTGGAGAACGTTTCTTCCCCATCGGTTGTCGGTTCTTCGAGCTATATTGCCGGCCCATTGCCACTTCAGCTAATCCGTTGGGCTATGTCGGTTACTCTGGTTCTACTGCGGATATCCTCATTTTTAAGTTTATCACGCAGAGAAACTGCGAGCATAGCCCTCTCCATAGCTCGCTGAGCGACCTTGGGCGTCCTCATACGGCCAGCAGTGAAGGACCACGTCTTAGGTCCATAAGTCATCACTGGCAACTCGCGCTGGTTGTACAATCTCGTTTTGAGGTATACCTGACGAGAAGATGTGTCGTAGTTTCCCGAACGCTGCCCAGCCGAGTTAAATCCGTCGATTGACGTCTCGGTCGAAGTTGGACTTACCTAGTCGGATTATTTGTCCCAGCTAAACATACTGGTCAACAACCTCGAGCTTAGTGCTCCCAACAACTACAGGCATAGGTGTGACAGGTACATTAAAATGCTCTTTGTTTTGTCCATGTTCATCTTAAGACCTATCTGTTTGGAGACACTATTGAGGTCATTGAGCATAGTGCTTATGTCCTCCAGCGATTCTGCCATAAGAACTATATCGTCGGCAAATCGAAGGTGAGTGATATACTCGCCATGGATTTTAATACCGTATGCTTTCCAGTCCAGTAGCTTGAAAACGTCTTCCAATGCAGCGGTGAAGAGTTTCGGGGATATAACGTCACCCTGTCTTACACCTCTCTGCAGTTGGATAGGTTTCTACTGTACAAACACTTCAGCACTTCGATATCAACTTGGCACCTGAAGAGACTGTAGCACTGCCCAAATTTCGAAGAAGTCAAAGGCTTTCTCATACTCCACATACGGAAGGCGAAGTCACAGATTGTACTCTTCTGTACAATCTGCCGAAAGGTGTGTATGTTGTTTATGGTACTAAAGCCTTTTCGGAAACCGGCTTGTTCGGGAGGCTGGAAGTCATCGAGTCTGGATGCGAGACGATTCGTAATGACTCTCGAAAACATCACGTAGACGCGGCTCAGAAGGAAAATCGGTCTGTAGTTCTTCAAGAGAGCGTTGTCGCCTTTCTTGAAAAACAAGACCATCGCTTTTCTGCTCAACGCCTCCAGAATAGTGCCACCATGGAGGTCGGAATTAAAGACTAGACATTTTACCGCAACTTAATTTTATTACAAATTTATTTTAGTGAACAGCCTAAAGTTTTTATAAAAATCTAACCGGAATCATGTAATCTGAAAAAAATGCGTGTAACGAACATGGGAGTCCTCAATACCTTGCTTTTACGTCAATACTAGCGCCATCTCATAGGCTGCAAGAGCACTACACAGTTTTTACACATTTTGTTCAAGAGATGGCGCCACTGCCGGCGTGAATTATTTCATATGATTTATTATTTACTTCAATAAATAAAAAAAACAGTTATTATTTTATTGTAAATGCTTTAATATTCTGGACATTAGGTATAGCTTTTACTTTGATACTAGCGCCATCTCACAGTCATTAAAAGCACTATTTTCCCCAATAATTTTACACATTTTATTAAAAATATGGCGTCATTGCTGGCATTTATTATTTATGCCGAAGCCTATATACATTAATTGTTAATTTCTCAGTCTTCCCGTCAGATACCGTAATACTAATATTAATTTTGTAATCTATAGGTTATAACGAATAAATTGACATGTATTTCATTAAGTTACGCCATAATTTGTGGTGGGCCCATTCTCCATACAAAAAGAAATTGTTACCTTTGCAAAATAAAATATTAAATGGATGTTCCTTAGCCACTTAATCGTCCAACCCGCGCGAGTGATTCTCGACTAACCTGTCCGCGCATTAAATGTCACTATTTTTTTACAACCGCGCGAGAATGTCTTAACAAAAACGATTACTACTGAAAAACAACTATAGCTACATTCAAATAAAAAATATTCTCAAAAGACACAAAGAATTCAAAATTTAATTTTGTCAAAAGAAAATTAGTCAAATTAAAAATAAAGGCTGAAAATGAAGCTTAAAAACGGGAATATCAAAAATAATCGTATTTATTTTTTATTTCCAGTTTTACAAGAAAAGTATAATACTTATAACTACTTTTTACGTGGTAGAGCCATACTGCAGCTATATTTCTGGTATAGTTGTAACACGAATGGGTCGGCTCGACCGGGGAAGGACCACGCTCTCACAGAATATCAGCGTAAAATAGCAGCTTAATGCTGCTGTGTTTCGTATGGTGAGTGTAGAGAACCGGAGACCCTTTTTACTGGAAACGAGGCATTCCATCTCAGTCCTCACGGGTAACAACGCATCTGCATTTTGATTCGTGATCGAGGATAAATGTAGATGTCTATGGGCCACAGCAACCACTTACCATCAGGTGGACTGTGTGCTCGTTTGTCACCCTTATCCTATAAAAAAAAAAACTTACTGGAGACAATTATTTTATATTATAATAGTACATGATACTCCCTTTAAAATGACACCAATATCAATAATATCTTATATACATAAGTGTATAATGTTTACCAAATATATACATTTGAATAAATACGCAAATAAACAAATAAAAATAAGTTTTAATCATTTCTAGACACATCTCAACAGATATTTCGTTTATAAATGGCTATCAACGTGTCAATAGTGAATCATTCTTTTATATTTAGCACTCATTTAACACAAAAAACTGATTAGAATACATTTTAAACAACATATAATCAATAAACGATGATCGCGTATAGTGATTAAAATTTCGAGCTAAATTATTATATGTAAACGTTTTGAAATTGTCGTGATGAAACATATTTCTTAAAGAAATATCTTCACAATTAGTTTGATGTATAATAACATTAGAAATAACGTGTAAAAACCGAAAAGTTATCACATTTTTGATCGAATTTCTCACATTTTAACAATCCACAAATAAAAATGACGAAATTTTATTTTTAACTTTTTTTTCTTAATATTTTGTTACTATTATGCAGATAAAATTAACACTCACAGATGACAAATTTATAATAGCACCATCTATAATTTTTTACTGTATTAATAACATCTATCTTTTGCGCTGTACACGTTTAAACCGAAAGACGTTTCGTGACTGTAGTCACCATGGACAGGTGAGGCAATAATTGTTTTTGGGGACTTTAGTCACCGTGGACGGTTGAGTAGTTAGGCGCTTTTTAATATAGTTACGAGCTTGGGGTTCGAAATAATTAAAAACTGCCGAGTGAATTACCAATATTGACTATTTAATTACACAACACTAATTAAACCTTAAAATCACACTAATAATAAAACACAGTTCGCCGTTATTTCGCTTCGAAGTATTCTCTTGTATCATCGCCAATTCAATACTGCCCCGTTCGTGGTCTATACCGGCCTTATATAGGGCCTCAGATAGTTTCCAGAACCTTCTACTGTAGCGACATCTAGAATGTTCGAGTACATTATCGGTCCCGAAATTTCTGGAAGGATCTCGACTCTCCTAGTTCTGCTACTCGACACTAGAGGGCGCTAGTGTAACTAGTGTTGCCATGTACAAGACATTAATAGTGGCGCGCAACACTTTCTTTTACTCGACACTAGAGGGCGCTAGTGTAACTAGTGTTGCCATGTACAAGACATTAATAGTGACGCGCAACAATATTAATGACCTTAATTACTATCTCGCAGAAATCTATATCTATACAAATAAATAAAATTGAAGTGTCTGTTTGTAATGTCAAAATTACAGCTTTTTATTAAATGCATATGAAAGTATATAGGGTACTACTAACAAAAATACAATTTTTAGAGTTTTGTCTGTCTGTCCGTCTGTCTGTCTGTCTGTTTGTTCCGGCTAATCTCCGAAACGGCTAGACCGATTTTGACGGGATTTTCACTGGCAGATAGCTGATGTCACAAGGAGTAACTTAGGATACTTTTATTTTAGAAAAAGAATTACACCCCAAATAACACGCGGGCGAAGTCGCGGGGAACAGCTAGTATAGTAATATTTCTGTGTCTGCGGCAGTTCAGACAAAAGTATAGAAAACAACTATAATATTTTTAACGAGTTTATAGCTCATAGCGTCCCGCTAGCTTACGTTTTTGCATACATTTTTTTTAACTTATTTACAAAATATCATCCCATATTATGATATTATATTGTCATACAAAAACGACTCAGTTATTAAACGTTTCACGTGTAGATATGTGAACTGTTCATCAAATTTTCATATTACATAAAGCGATTATGGGGGATGTAATTTGATCGAAAATGAAAAAAAAAACGTTATGTAACATCGTTACAGGTAGGTAGAACGAAATTATAACGGATTCTCATGTGACGGTGGGAACCTTCAAGAAGTGCTATAGAAAGTAGTTTTAAAGAATAAAACTGTAACTCAATAAACTAATCTAATTTTCACAAATAACTTCTCAATTGATTTGTCATAATTGCGTGCTGTCTTGACGTCTAATTTTGAAATTGTTTTTGTATATAAAAAAATGTTATTTCTTTCAGGTGACGTCAACGCAGCTATAAATCTGGTATTTAGTGGCGCCATTGGTGATGACTAAAAACAATTAATTTTATTTGGAAGCCATTGTTAATATAATGTATCTTTCGCATGTTATAATTTAATAAAAGATTGTAACGATATACAATTTTGCCGATTTGATACCGATACCGATTATTGTAATAAATATAGATACCGATTTACATTTTTACCCGACTGCCAGAATGTATTTTTTCCCCTGGCGCTTGTAATTTTCTCTGTACACAATATTATAGGCATTTTTTTTTTCAATATTTAAATTAATAATTTTTATCATTATAAAATGTAATTAATTATGTTTATAAAATAATCTATTTATAATTATAAATTACATAATATCAATAACTGGAAATCATTTTGACAGACTTTTGTTCAGAAAACAGAGTTTATTAAAATTATTTTCATACAGTCTGTTACCCTCATCACTTTGTATGAGGCTGGCGGCTGCAGTTAAAATAGTCGTTCTGAGGCAACTGATCACAGTTTGAATTTTTTTCTTTATTTAAATTACGGCTCAAAGGTCCTCTCCAAAGGATTAAATGTTATTGATGTTTAGTTCCACACAAAAAAAAAACTTAATATTTATTTTCTTGCAGTTTTTTATTTTAAATATAGTTTAAGGATGTCTATAATTTACTAAAGAACCCACTTTTCATTTTTTTGTTTCTTTTGTTTGTCTTTGGGTTAATATTAGAAAAGTAGTTCTTTAGGACTGGGTTGTAACGGTATAAATAAAAAACACATTTTTAATCAGAAAATCAACGTTTATGACAGATTTACATAATAATACTCGAATCACAAGAGATCACAACAAAAAAGACTTGAACCACTCTGTGGGTTTAATGATATAGCAAATATCATGAGATAACAAATAAATAATAATCTTCTAATTTTAATGAGTTTACATTTTTTAATCAGTCTTCAACACTCACTGTTTAATAACTACAGTAGGTGCTCGGTAATTCGGCACCGGAGTTTTTTTCTCTATGCCGTATTGCTTGAATTGACGGATTATTGGATTTGTATCAGAAATACATGTGTAAAAGGTTTATATATATGGGAAGTAAATTCTTCATATAGATTTTAACAGTAAAAGATTATATTAATTTAGGTTGCGTAATTTATTATGAAAATATAATTGGTAACATTTTTTACTTAATCAAATAATCAAATAATGATAATATGTATGTATGTACGTTGCTTCATTATTGATTACGTTACAAAAACTTTTTAATTTTTTCAGTTTCGGAAGAGGAAGATGATGCTTTGTCGAAAAAAATCAATTTTCGCTTGCTTCTTGCTACCAGTATATTTTATTGATAAATAATATCTTCTCTCAACTTCCTTAAAGTCAGTAAAGTGTTGCCTGAAGCATTGTTTTCCTCTGCCCAACTGATATTTACAGTTGTTAGAGCATCTTCAGCTTTCATTGAGCTTTTTGTGGGACCAAAGAAGGTTAGATCATCTTGAGCAAGACTAGAAACAGTATTATTTCTTCATCCGTTATTATAGGTTGAAAATCCGAGTTTTCCGCAAACCACTCCTCTATGTCTTGTTCAGTCAACTCTGTCTGTTGATTTTGAAGCAACATCTTTTTTAGGGTTCTGCAAGTAATATTCAACCTCTGGATACGACCCTTCTCGTTCACGACTTTCATTCAGCGAAGGCCACAATTTTTTTCCACGACGATTGATTTACTTTCTCGGGTACGTTATTTCACGCTTCAGTCATGTTAAACGACGTATCTTTTAGGTTCATGTCCTTCAGTGTTTTTGAAACGGACAGCGTAGAGAGCAAGTAAGCAAGTGGACTATATACGAGGGGTGATCCAAAAGTAATGATAATGAAAATAAAGCACGGTAATTAAAGTTAAAATAATAATTTATTTTTCTACATAGTCTCCTAATAAATCAATACATTTAGTCCATCTTTTTTCTAAACCCAGGATTCCCTTTGAAAAAAATTCTTTGTCTTGACCCTCCCAAAACGCTTCAACAGCGGCCATTACTTCGCTATCGTCTTCGAATTTCTTGCCTCGGAGGCGTTCCTTGAGCCGAGGAAAGAGGTAGAAATCACTAGGAGCTAGATCTGGCGAATAAGGAGGGTGTTCGAGCAGTTCAAATCCCGTTTCTTGAATGGCAGCCATCGCAACTGCGGCTTTGTGAGCCGGTGCGTTGTCTTGGTGAAACAGCACTCCAGCTCGCAGTTTGCCGCGTCTTTTTTCCTTAATGGCCTCCCGTAATCTTCTTATTTGGTCTGCGTAGTAAGAGCCCGTAATAGTGGCTCCCTTTTCCAAATATTCCACCATAATTATGCCTTGAGCGTCCCAAAAAACAGATGCCATAACCTTTCCCGCCGAACTTGAAACTTTGAATTTCTTTGGCGTCGGTGAGGAGGCTCGCTTCCAAGTCATCGATTGTTGTTTCGTTTCAGGATCAAAATGGTGGATCCAGGTCTCGTCCATAGTCACAAAACGGAACAAAAAATTTTCTTGATCTGCTTGGTACTTTTCGAGATTGACCCTCGAAATGTCAACTCGATTTTTCTTTTGCTCGTCGGTTAACATTCTGGGTACCCAACGCGCAGAGACCTTTTTCATATGCAACTCGTTCGCAAGGATTCTTTGAACGCTGCCATATGAGATCCCTATGACCTCAGCTACATGCCTGATGGTCACTCTTCGATCTGCCAACACAACATCTTCGACTTTTTTCACGTTGTCTTCAGTGAGGGACGTGGATGGGCGTCCTTCGCGATGTTCATCTTCAGTGGATGTTCTGCCCAGTTTAAACTCCTTAGCCCAGCGTGCAACTGTAGAATATGGAGGAGCAGAGTCCCCCAATGTTTCCACTAAGTCACTGTGTATGTCTTTTGAAGACATTTTTTTCAAACAGAGGTACTTGATGACAGCTCTAATTTCGTTTTTCTCCATGTTGATGTTATCTCTTTGAGTTTATCATTACTTTTGGATCATCATATTTGTGAGAGGTTGAGGAGTGATTTACTTGACTGACTTAATTAATTAATTCGATAACTGACTGAGACTAAGTGAAGCTAATGGACTGTATGTACTCGTAGATTGTAGACGGTTCAATGCAAACAAAAGGTGGGACAACTAATAAACATTTATCTGTTTTTGTGTATTTAACTGTTTACAATAGCGGCAGTACTATCAACTAATATACAATAGGAAACACTATATTATAGAGGGATTTTTCTTGATATCTTGATGTCTTCATTCTCTTTTGCCGCTTGAGAATCGAATGACTCCCGGCGGCCAGAGAACTTCTTCTATTCGCGCGGCGGGAGACTCCGTCGGTGGGCTTGGTGGACGCAGGCGTGTGGAGTGTGTGGTGCGGGGTGCGGAGTGTGGGTTGCGGAGTAGACTTGGGCAAAAAATATCAATATATCGAAATATCGATATTTTTAATAAAAATATCGACATATCGATATTTATTTTAGAGTATCGAATTCGTATCAATTTCGATATATTTTAAAATGTTGTATCGTCGTCCAACCGTCAGTAAATAAAATTTTGGACCTTATCTATACATCATTCAAATGATGACGATATATCGATATTTATCACTAGATATATATCGATACTGTTTAAAAATATAGATTCGATATATATCGATATATTTTTTCCCTTTGCCCATCCCTATTGCGGAGTGTGGGTTGCGGAGAGCGGGGTGCGGGTTGTGGAGTGTGGGTTGCGGAGTGCGGCGTGCGGATTGTGGAGTGCGGGGTGCGGAGTGCGGGTTGCGGATTGTGGAGTGCGGGGTGCGGAATGTGGGTTTGCGGAGTGCGGGGTGCGGAGTGTGGGTTGCGGAGTGCGGGGTGCGGAGTGTGGGTTGCGGTGTGTGGGTTACGGCGTGTAGGTTGCGGAGTGCGGGTTGTGGAGTGTGGGTTGCGGAGTGCGGGGTGCGGAGTGTGGGTTGCGGAGTGCGGGGTGTGGAGTGTGGGTTGTGGAGTGTGGGTTGCGGAGTGCGGGGTGTGGGTTGCGGAGTGCGCGGTGTGCAACGGGACATGCGAAGGCGGCGGGCCGGTGGCTCCCGAGCCGTCCGTAACAGTTTTACTTACATCACCCTCTCGGATAACGGCATTCAACAAGTTTTTTTGTAATTACATTTTATCATCAGTATTACATTCTGGTCCATAGGTTGAAGCAATGATGTGACATTAAATATATAAATTACAGGATTGAGGCAATATTTTGAATAAGTTTCTTTTTAGTAAGGCATAAATGTACTTTACATTTACTGAATCGTATGGCTTTTAACCATTATATCCGCTAACTCCAATTTGTACAATCATAACTGCTGAATATTTTTGTAGGTACTTAACGATTTAATTATTGACATTTTCAAAATATTAACCAAGAATTGGCCACAGCTATGTCAATCATGTGTGCTGTAAACCAGTGATGCACAGACTTATTAAGACTAGGGGCCACTCGGGCAAATTATGAACTGATGGCGGGCCGCCAGAAGTATAGGTAATTAAAGACAATAAAGAATTGATAATAATGTATAAAATTGAAAAAGAATTTATTAATTTGAAACGTGGCACTGCATAGTGCTTACAATCTTTTTTATATTTGACTCAAATTTACTTGTAGCAACACGTAAAACTGCTTCCAAACTTTCATTTGCAAGGCGGTTTCGATTTTTTGTTTTATTATTATTTAGTATTGAAAAGGTTTGTTCACATATATAGGTAGAACCAAATAAGCTGGCACATTTCAGAGCGTTTATGCGCAATTCTTTGTACGTATTTTTATCAATGCAGCGGTAAAATTTAGCAAGTCTCCTTCGTTGAATTTGTTGCGTAAATCTTGGTCGTTTTGAATGTCGATAATTTCTAACTGCATTGACTCTGACGCATTTTCAACTGAAATCCTGAAAGGATTGCTGAATATGTGCAACAGAGGTTTCACTTTTTTAAACTCCGAAAAGAATCTTGAAAAGATTGAATCAAAATATCTAGCTTTTCTACATAACTGAAATTAATCGCAGTTTT